AAAAAAATTTTTTTTCAGGGCTGGGGAGATGGCTCAGCAGAATAAGCGCTTCCCTGGCAAGCTCAAGGGCCTGAGTTCAATCCCCAGGTCCACAAAAAAAAAAAAAAAAAGATTTTCTACCTTCCATGCCATCCGGCAGTCATCTCAGCCTCCTCGGGGGTCCCCACAGACACACATTAAGCTGCAGCGTGTGCACCAAGATTTGGACAGCACTCAAGGGTGACCACTTTCAACTCTTCCTTGCTATTTCTCCCCTCCAAAATTATCAGCAGGATAAAGAACTTAGGGAAGCACGAGGCCCTGGGGGAGTTCCTTCCTTTCCCTTTCTCTTGCTTTCCTACTCGAGTCTTTTCTTTCCAGCGTCCTGCACACACTCACCCGCCGACTTCAGGGCGTAGTCAGCCATCTGCACCTGGTCCTCTCTCAGCTTTTTAAGCACATAATGCACCAGGCGGAGCATTTCCTGTATGGATTGTAAGAACAGATCAATCTCTACCCAGCTTGGGTTTTGATTATTCACTGTATGGATTTATCCTAATCTGCAAAATAACCATGGTTTGAGCTCCCACAGCTGCACACTGTGCACCCACAGACCTGGAAGGTCACCTTCACAGCCCTGTAGGCAGGGCCTTCTCTGGTCGAGGAAGCCAGGAAAGCCAAAATGGGTTCAGGGGCTCGCAGGGGCCAGACGGACGTGGGTCCCTCCGAAGCCCTAGCCACTGCGCCGCTTGCTCTCTGCATGTTTGCTGTAGTTGTGGAACTCGAGCATGCTGCAGGTATTTGTGAAGCTTGGCAGTGCACCAAGACCACACGACTGCTTATGTCTGCAAGTTTTCATCTGCTCCAATTAACCACGGACTCTGCAGGGTGTGGCTCCAAAATGAGTGAGCATCCCCAGCAGGCGGAGCAGTTTGCCTCTCACAAAACCATGCCGAGGTAGAAAACAGGTCCCAGAAGATAGTGGGCAATCAGTGTCAGATTTGTGTGCATTCAACACATGGGCCTTGCAGAAAGGACAGGCACTGAGGTGCTGGTGGCTGCAAGAGAGAGGGGCAGTCCTGAGCTCCCTGGTTGGTTTGTTTTCTTGTTTTTGTTTTGCTACCACTGAGGATTAAACCCAGGGTCTTTGCCCCAAGTTACATCCCCAGGCTTTTACATTTTTTAACCTTTTGAGACAGTCTTGCTAACTTGGTGAGCTGCCCAGGCCGGGCTCAGGCTTGCCCGCTTCCTACCTCAGCTTTGCAGAGTGCTGGGATTCAAGGCAAGAGCCACCAGACCCTGTTCAGCTCCCTGGGTTTGCTCACTATTTTGCCTGACCCTGGAGCCCACGGCCCCAAGGCGCCTGCTATGAACGCAGGGACTACAATCCCCAGCTGTGTCAGTGGCTGCGGATAGATGCTCAGAGACCGCCACCTCACTAGTGGGCATTCGCTTTTGTTTGGTCCTGGGAAATGAAACAGAACCGTGGTTTATGTGGGTGGGAAGGAGGTCCCACTGATACGCCAAGCCTTCACGACAGCAGCAGTGGCAGGTTCAGTTTTCCGGGCTTGGCGGAATGACAGCTTGGAACACCCAGCTGAAGTGGGTGTGGAAGCCTGCCCAAGGAATGCTGCCGCCAGCATAAAAGGAGAACTGGGGAGAGATGGTATGCTGTTGGTTCTCCCGGAGGAGCTTGTCATGCTGGTTTTCCTGGTACAAATGCACTTGCTCTCATCATTGGAGGAGCTCAGGATCCCCTTGTCACAGAAAACGGCTGTGGACCACTTTGGAGGAGCTTTGGGTCCTCTGAGTGTTGCTTCTTGGCTCTGGAGGAGAAGATGATGCCCTGCTCAGTCTCCTGGAGAAGCTTGTTGCGTTGGCCTTCCTCATAGGAACGAGGCTGCTTTGTCAGGGGAGCTCAGGACCTCGCTGTCGCTGAGGACGGCTGTGGCACCTTCCAGGAAGCTCTGGTCCTTACTTTAAGCATCACTCCTGGCTCCAGGGCAGATCCCTCGGCCTGCGGGCACAGACCCTCCCTCCTGCTGGCACAGACTTTCTGGCTTCCGCCACTGACCTTTGGGCCTGCCCAGCACAGATCCTTGATACAGACTCACGCGAGACATCACCGTGGGCTCTTGGCCTCCAGTTGGACTCTTGGGGGGCATTGCCATGGGCTCTGGGTCTTCAGCTGGACCTGTGCAGCACGTGACCGTGGGATCCAGGCCCTCAGCTGGCTTCTTTAGGTCTTTAGTGTGTGGACAGATCTCCTGCACTCTTTTCAACTTGGCCCTTTGGTGATAAAATAACCCTATAAGCTTTGTGTCTTGTATTAAATGGTTTCCCTGCAAACCCTGATACAACACTGGACAAGCTTGAGGGATGGAAAGCAAACGTCACAGCCTAATGTCGGGGGCACCTGAGAAAGGAGGGGAGCAGCACCCAGGAAGTACCAAGCCCCATCACCTGCTGCCCCCCAGGCCGCCTTGCCTCGTCTGGCAACTCAATGCTGTCCTGATCCTGGGTGACATCCCTGGGGCCACTCCCACTGTCATCATACATGCCGTCCTTCATGTCCCTGAGCAACGCCTTCAGCATGTCCATTTGCTCAATCAAAAATAGAATCTCGCGAAAATTGTTCTCCAGGGTCTGGCTTTCCTTCCTGCACACGGAGGAGCACAGTGTCAGAGAGGACACGGGACACTCTCCCAGTCAGAGCTGAGTTGGGCTTTGCACTGCCAATGGAAGGGGTGCTTGTGCGCTACTCTGGGGCAGACCCATTCCCCAGGGAGAGTAGGGTGTGGTCAGTGTCACAGGCACCATAAAAGAGCTGCAAGAACGGGAGGTGGCACCTTCTGTGGTGCCCACGTGCTTAGCTAGCTCTGCAGTGGGTAGGGGACATGACTTGGTCTACCCTCCTTGTCACTCAGCTCGGTGATCTCATGTCTGGTCTGTGAGCCTTAAGTCCCCAAATGTCACACAAAGGGGAATAATAGGCAAAACTTGCATTCTAAGTGTGAAACAGGACGTGGGCCTGGAGTTTGTGGAAGACCCTGCGCCCTGCTGGGAACCAGCTACCTTCTGCTGGTTTTGTAACCTGAATGTGCAAGATTTCACCTTCCAAGAATTCAGTTTATTACTCTGCAGTTTAAGGACCACTGACAGAGGGACTAAGACAATGTTGAACTAACAGGTATTTTCTCACACTGGGAAAAAAACCAAAACTTTTTTCTCCTAGGGCTGGCAGAGTCAACTAAGCAGACTAAAGGGCTTGCTTAGGCAATCGCAGGGGCCAGGGCTCAATCCTTGGCACCGCATGCCGTGCCAGCCCCACCCCTGGGCACGCGGAGGCCCAGATGGAGTCTGGGTGTGGTGGTACACACCTGTAATCCCTGCGCTGGGGAGGCAGAAAACAGGAGGATCACGACAAGTTTGAGCTGTTTTGAGACCCTGTGCACACACACACACACACACACACACACACACACACACTCTCACACACACACAACTATAGTTTCCTCTCCTAGATTTTAAAGCGACATGTTTTTTTTTTTAATTTTATTTATTTATTTGTGTGTGTGTGTGTGTGTGTGTGTGTGGCCAGCTCAGCCCACCAGGGGGCGGGGCTGGCTGGCATGTGGTGCTGGGGATTGAACCGCGGTCCCTGTGCTTTGACTCAACTTGTTCTAAGTAGGTGCTTTAGACCACTGAGCCATCTCACCAGCCCAAGCGACATGTTTTTAAAGGTGGGAAAACACAAACGTTTCAAAGAAATCAACACTATGAATTTCAGTATGATCTGGTACATATCATTTCATTCAAAAGTAATACAACACTATCCTATTGTCGCTGCGTGTCCTAGTACACCCTGAAAATGAAATACATTTCAGAATTACTTTTATAGCTTTGTAGCTCCATTAACACATGAGTAGACTCCAACGTATTTGAACTCTGGTTCCTTTTTCTCACCTAAAAATAGTTGTTTTCCGTTTTTTTGTGATCATGATTAACACAGAAAGTAAATCAAGTGTGTATTTCCTTAGAGAAAGATACTTGGACATAGGAATATGTAAAAGGGCCAATAACTTCATAAAGCAATAAGAACATAATTGTTTTGATAGAAAAGTATGTACGCTTAGGCTAAAGAAAAGAATCACCAGATGTGGTGATGTCCAGCTATATTCCTAGCACTCTGGGAGGCTGAGGCAGGAGGACGGCAAAGTCGAGCCCAGCCGGAACAATTTAGGGGCTTAGCAATATGCCACCTCAAAATAAAAAATAAAGAGGGGCCGGGGATATAGGGTAGTGTGAAGACCTTAGGTTCACCTGGTACTAAAAAAAAGGAAAAAAAATACAGATAGTACAGATGTTGGTGGCCGACAGAGAAAGCCCTAGGAAAGGGCTCTTGCTTGTGTGAAGAGGTGAAGCTCAAGGCTGAGGAGAACAAGTTTTAGTTTTTAATTCTCCAAAGTCATCCGGGCATTTGGGGCCACAGCACAGTGGGGCGCGGGGCGCGGATCTCACTCACTTCAGAAGTTCCAGCTGTTCTCGGGGCATGCGAAATCTGGCCTGGAAAAAAAGATAGATAAGTCATTCTGAGTGCTGCCCGCCTAACGGGGGCTCTTTCTCCACGACATCACACCCTTCCTCTGTGGATCATACCAGGACCCTGGCTGGATACCCTGTGAAGGCGACTGGGGCCTGGCAGCGCCCCAGAGGTACCTGGAACTTCCTCGGCCTGCAGGTGAGCAGTTGCCAACGTTCAGCACCCAGCGTGTCCTGCTGCACCCCGACAGTCACGTTCCTGTACTCCAGGACGCATCTGCCAGCCCGAGCGTCGGCCATCCTCTCCCTCCCATGCCCCGAAGCCCACACCCCGTCCTCTCAGCCTGTGCCGTCTTGCACAATCACATATATTCACACGCACCCTGGCACAGACACACCTCACACACATGCTCTTACACATGCATGAGCCTAACACATATGTATACTCACATGTGTGCAGCCAGGCACACACAGACACATAGCTCTGCATGTTCACATACTCACATATGTATGCTGTGCACACCCACATGCACTAACATGCATGTAGGCTCACGGGCACATGCCCAGATCCAGTCTAGGCTCTGACTTAATGCCTTATGAGGGGCAGTATTAATAAGGAGAGAGGGGGGGAGCAGAGGGACCCTGGGGTGCATGGAGCCCAAACAGGGCAAACAGAGGTCAGAGGACAGGAGCTTAGAAGAGGTCGCCCCTGCCCCAGGATCCTAGGAGCAGTGACCAGCCGTGGTCACCCACAGAGCCCTGGGCCACGCCCGCCTGCCCACGTCTGCAGGAGCCCTACCACCACCTCTGGTCACTGCAGTCCACGTCCACCTCTGGGTGCCAGGAGAAGCATGCAGGTAGGGTGCAGGAATGCTGAGGTGGGCCCGCTGGGGCTGAGTCCAGCCAGCACCTAACTTGCGCCTCGATGGTCACTTAGACCTTGGAAGGTCCTAGCGGCGATTCTGGACACCTCTCCCAGCCCAGGCCCCTCCTGCATGTGCAGGCCCCCAGTCGCGCGGCATCCTTCCCTGGGGATTGTCCAACTCTCGCATTTTGGGAGCTCGAAAGAGAACCTGACGGGGGGGGGGGGAGGGTGACAGGGAGAGGAAAAGCATCTCCGGGCTGCTCTGTGTCCAGGTCCCAGTCCCTCTGACGCTTCACCCAGTGAGATCCGCATTGACCCTTACAGCTCACTTGGCACAGCGCCCTGCAGGCTGCAGGCTGTCAGCACCAGGCCAGCTAAGTTGTCCCAGCGTTAGACCCCTGTGCCTGCTTGCAGGCACTTGAATCCACTAAGCTATTTGGCTGGCTCTCACTTTTTTTTTTTAAACATTTATTTATTTATTTATTTATTTATTTATTTATTTATTTTGTGTGTGTACGTATGTGTGTTTGGCCAGCTCAGCCCACCTGGGGGCAGGGCTGGCTGGCATATGGTGCTGGGGGATTGAACCGCGGTCCCTGTGCTTTGCCAAGCTTGTTCCAAGTAGGTGCTTTAGACCACTGAGCCATCTCACCAGCCCCAAAGAACTGAGCTAGAGCCAGGCCCGCTCTCACTTTCTTAAACAGCGTTGACCATGGCCCACTGCTTCCTTCGTTGGGACTGGATCCCTCAGCTCCACTGGATCTTATATAACTTCCATTCCACACTCTCCCATCGTGATGCTTGCTGTGCTCGGCTTTTCAGTATACGCCAATTAAATGCTGGAACTCATCATTTGCAATCAACAGCCCTTGCCTCTGCCTTGCCATGGTGCCGCTGTGGTCCCATACGGCCTGTCCTCAGCAGTGGCAGGGACAGACAGGTGGCGGGCCCAGTCCGGGGACTCTGGGTGGCTTTCAGCTGCAGTGCTTGCAGTGGGCTCGGTGCCGAGACCCAGCTTCTACTCTCTCCATGGACTCAAGGACACTTTTATTAAAGCATCATTTTGAGGACAAGGGAATGCGTTGGATTCCTTACTCTCCTGCTGTCCGCGGTGGGAGATGAGAGGAACGCAATTTTGTGAGAAGTTTATCAAGTCATTACGTGTCTACACACTGTGAATATTCTGTGTGTGTGTGTGTGTGTGTGTGTGGGCAGCTCAGCCCACCAGGGGGCGGGGCTGGCTGGCATGTGGTGCTGGGGGATCGAACCGCAGTCCCTGTGCTTTGCTGAGCTTGTTCTAGGTAGGTGCTTTAGACCACTGAGCCATCTCTCCAGCCCCCCAAATATATTTTTTAAAAAATCCTGGATTAAAAGAATATAATGGGGGCTGGTGAGATGGCTCAGTGGTCTAAAGCACCTACTTAGAACAAGCTTAGC